TTATTGTCGCTTATTGAACACTCCAATTCAAACTTACTTTTAATGATATCAAATCACTGCTGGTATTTCTGGACAATTTGTTGAATTGTGAGACGGAAAGTTAAATCTGTATTTACAAGCTTAAAGTGTATAGGACTACGTTTGATTGCTTAAACTAGAAAGCATGTGATTATATTCTTTAAATTTACATTTTTGTGTTCTCTCGTTAGCGAGGGAGTTAGTTAAAGTAGACACTGTGGTAACAAGCAAACCAATGCAGAGCGTGTAGTGAATCAGTTTTCTTTATATTTTATTGGTCAGATTTGCATGATAATGTAGTATTTGTTAGCGATTTCTTGTTAAAGTTGAAACCTACGGAAAGTTTCAGCGCACGACAATCGCACCCGAAATAAGAAGGGTAACATATTTTTGTATCCCATCGAAACTGGTCAATTTATTTATTTTTGAATAGACGTGATACACACTTATGGACAGAATTCAGACAACTACAGAATTATGTAAATTAAACATTATTTAGCGAAGAACCATTTTTTATAGTCTTCTAGCTTGTGTTCCCGCTCCCTACGACGCGTTGCGGTATTCAAGACACGCGCTTGATTGAAAAGCTATCTAATCAAATCACTTCATTATTATTTTTCTTTTAAAAAAATTATAAAATACGAGAGTATGTCATGGTAATTAATTAAATCGTTGTGTGTTAGAATTCATAAACCTTACTGATATTTTCACTTCGAATGATTTTGATTATTTAAAATAATGGTTTGCTAGTAATTTTTTTTATTTTAATGATAACATTTAGCTGTGAATAAGAATAATATTTTTTATAATTACCGAGTACATTTCACGCTAATTGTGAGACGAACCCTAAATGACGTCTATATGGGCGCCGCCATTGTGAAATGGACGTCACGTCAGGTTACAACGGGAAAAAATATAATTTTAACATTTTGACCATATTACTGACTTTATGAAAAATATGAAAAACAAACCTAGAGATATTGACGTCAGGGTTAACATGTCATCAATTTAAATGATTTTACCATAATATTTAATAAAAAATGGAATGTTCAATTTGATGGGACAGACTATAGAAAGCTAGTAACAGTAAAAAATAGCCAATGTCATAAAATGCCCTGGCGAATAGTAATTCTTCGAATGATATTTTTACAGTTGCACACAGACTTATATGTCATTAATTAATATGGGCAAAGGCGAACTTATTGTACAAAAGACGGAAAGTTTAGTTATTTTAATTTTACGTGGTGGAATGTGGAGCAAAATATTTCAGAATGTAACAGAGTGTCTGCGAATATCACCTATTACCAATTAGGTACTTGCAATGTATCAAGTGAAACAGATTTTTTACTCGGTGACTACTATTCATTATAGCTGTGTGATATTTTATGTGTGTCTAGGATGGTAGGCTTGTTGTACAGTCTGGATTTGTTCACGATGCCATAAAAACCCTTCAAAACAAGGTTTATCATTATGGATTCAAAATATGCACACGATACAAAAGGTATTAATTAAGTGAAGTTAAAATGCAATTTTTATTTATAAATGTTTTTGATTTATCATTTTATCATAAAGTGTCTCGTGCAACTCTCAAATCTTACCAAATGATGCGGGAAAAGTATACACCTCGATGTTATATAACTGTTGTAAGAAATAGCAAGGAACATTATGACTCTAGTTGCTGGTAGCGTCCATGGTTTGACTCTACATTTGATCCTCGTTTTTCTATAAAAGGTGCTGTAGAAAATCTACAAACAGTCGAGAGTAAAATCATAGATTGTGTCTTTTTGTTCCTCAACAACGGTCTCATATAAATATCGCGGCGAGTAATAGCAAATTTCAGCTCAAACTTTTTTGCGAAAAAACATTTCCCAGCATAAAATGTCGAGGCTTAACTCAACTCGTCACAAGTTATGCATTAAAACAAAATATTGCGGATTATAATGGCCGCAATCGGTTACCTCAAGTAGATATGTGTTTGCGTGGCTTAGTCTATTACAAAGACAGAAAATGTCGCGATCCATTGTAAAACTCGACATTTTACGAAGAAATGTAACAGAACAACTCAAAGATATTATAAAGAATTCTTGCTATTGAGGAGACGATTTTTTATACAATTACGAATATATTGTGATTCTTATGTTTCTTTCTAATTTTGTATAATTATATTTATCACCATAGCAACCCTATGTCGTACGAACGCCGCAGCTTAAACATAAGTTATACTTACAGTTTAAAACACTTAAAATTTGTCCTTTTTTGGCGCGCTTCTTTATAATACGAAAATGATGTCAACGTTCTTTCATAACGTTTATGGAACAATTGAAAAAACATGTGTCGCTACGATTAATTTGTTTATTAGAGATATCAATGGAGACAAGCGTGTGTACGCCAAAGAGGAGCGCGACGATGTTGTAATTAAGTTCAGTGTAAATCATATTTTGACGCCACAGCAGACTAGAGAAAACATGGAAATTGCATCTGGAACAGAAAACGTGTCTCGCTCGTTAGTTTATAAGTGACACAAACGCTTCTGTGATGGTAGAAAAGAACTTAAGAATGATAAATGATGCGGCACACCAACCAAAACTTGTTGCGATGCCCACGTTTAGCGAGTGAAATCGGCAGTCAACGAGGATAGAAGGGAAACAATTAGAGAAATGAGCGATATGCTGTGTTTAAGTTATGGATTTGTTCAGAAAATATTGACTGTAGACCTTGCTTTGCGACGATTGAGCGCGAGATGGGTACCAGGTTCTTTAACGTGAGACGAGATGGCGACAAGAGTTGCTAACAGTGAGCGGTTTCGGAAACGGTACAGACGGCAAGGATAGCAATTCCTTAATAGAATAATAACGACTGCCGAAACGTTGCTATATTATACGATCCAGAAACGAAACAACAGAGTAAGGGTGACAGCTCTCGATATACTCCTTACAGTCAAGATTAAAATGATGTGTATAATTTTCCTTACTGTCATCTATCCATATTTCAAGCTTCTAAAAATGTTCAGCTCTTTTTGACTTATCACATCTGTTGTTATATTTACCTTGTTTTAAGCATATTTGTTGCCATGACAACCAATTTTTTGCAACATAGGAAGAAACGTTTAAGACATGTATAATCTCCAGTCTGCCATCTACCCATACTTCAAGTTTCATTAAAATATTTTCAGTCCTTTTTGTGTTATAACTGGATCCAGTTTATCTGAAAAAATTTGCCATATTTTTAGTCTATTTATTTGTTGCCATAGCAACCAGAATTTTCAACATAGGTAGAAAAGAAAAAAAGACGTGCATAATCTCTAGACTGCCATCTATTCATATATCAAGTTTCATTAAAAATATTTTCTGTACTTTTGCGTTATCGCGGGATCCAGTTTTGTGGAGCTTATAGGCAATTGGATGTTCACCAGGAAAGACAGACGCGTGGAGGGTAAACCTAAAGTCCCCTCCGTTTAAACCGGTAGGGGACTAATAAGAGGAAACAGTAAAGCTCACACAACCCACTGTGATGGAACTATCTAACTGTTCCTGACTCAAGTAAACCCTCGAGGATAGCGTAATGGAATACAACAAAGCTCACACAACTCACGTTGTTCTAATGTCAAGTTAATTCACGGATTACGCAAACAACGGTGATAGGCCTATCTAATATTTTTTAGCTCAAGTTAACAAACAGTGATAGTCACATGAAATACAGTAAAGCTCAATCAAGCCACTGTGATAGGCTTATAGCATGGTTCACAAACTAGACAAAATGGCTACCGAGTCATGAAAAAGTAAATAAAATACTTGTATCAATACCATAACATCAGCATAACAATAACATACCATCGTTAACATTTTTGTTTGAATAAAATGTTATCATTCATTAAATATAAAACTATATTTAACAGAATCAAATTATTTCAAACAAAAACAAACATATTATTGACTAAATATCCTGCTGACTTGTGTAGAAGAAATTGTTTCTAAAATAAATGACTTCTTAATACGAACCAAGAATTAAGACAAAATGGCCGCAGCCGGATATGTAGTGTCGTTTGTTTAAGAAAAAAGTCCTGATTAATTAAACAAATAAATACAGTGCTTAAGTAGAGTAATTGAATGCTCAATAACTTTGTAAAATCGCTAGCAATTAACCAATTGGCGACATAACATTTTTGTTACGTGTTACGACACTCTTTTCATTTCCGTTTATTTTTATGGTACATTTATTAATCAAGTACACACAATCCTTCCGCCTTATGGTATATTTTTCAAGTTTCCGTAAACGCTGGCTGGGTTTTGCAATGGTAACTTGGTACAAAAAAATGATATTGTTTTGCCACGGTAACCTGGTGGAAATGACAACGTGATTATAAAAATTGCATCAATACATGCGATTTATTGATGTAATATTTTATACAGCAATTGCAACAATATAACTATCTCTGTGTTAATTTTATTTTTATTTCACATTTGAAAATAAACTGTTTAATTTACATTAATTCATTCGAAAAAAAAAAGATACAGAAAAAGCATCTTGCTAATACATGTTTATAAATAAGATATGTGTTACACTCGTAGCACATTTTAATGACATCTTGAGTTGCATTGTTTTGACTTAAATGGAAATTTTAAATGTTTAAAGGAAGTGTAACCCTTGTACACATGATTTTGAAGAAAAACAAATGGCGAATTTTTCCAAAACCCAATTGGAATTTAGGAATAAATAGTATCATAAGTAACATTCAATATGAATAAAAAAGGCTAAAATACTGAATATTAGCATATGCAAAATTTTAACATCGTATTAGATTAAGTTAGTATGTACATGTATAACCAGTCATTCTCTTACAATGCATCATATTATATAAAATACATTAAAATCATAAAAAACTCCAGAGCTTTGATTACAGTTATTTTCATATATTAACTTGAACACATCATCATAATTAACAAAGCTTTGAGTTTATTGATGACTCTCACTGAAATATACTTTGTATTATTTAAAAGTCGTATGCTTATGATACTCTTAGTCTTACTTGAACGAAAAGCGTTATGACGCTTTTTAATTTTGTATCATTTTTCATAGTTAAATAATTATTCTTGCAAACAGAATTATATATAATTATACATAAATTTTATTGGTCTAGACCTATATCAAATAAAACATTTTTCACGAACAAAAATTTTAAGTCTTGTCATAATAAACTATCTCTGTGGAGTCCTATGAATAAGCATTAACAATTCACAATAATTAAAAGTTAGTTGAGAACAAACATTGTCATAAACAAACAATCATATTTTACAGAAAGTTGAGTACATTTATTTAGGAAGACAAATCATCATAATTAACAGTGCGTTGAGTACATACATTAAGAAAAAAAAATAAACCATCAAAATAAACAATGCATTCAGTACATACATAAGCGTTAATAAATCATAATACAAACAAAGCTTTTATTGCATATAAGATATCAAATAGTTTGTTTACATCTTTTCTGTCTAAACTGTTGCAAATGTGCTAGGTTCTACACTGTCTGCAAAAGCTGCTATTTTGAATATTGAATCTCAAAATAGTTTGATTAGTTATTTCATTTTTGATGACTTTAGTTGTAAATCATTACAGTCTTTGTCTGAAAATATTTAACAATAATATATTTAATGAAAATGAAAAGAAGCGGAATTCTCTAAATGCTGATATTGAATGTAAACCCTCATAAAATGTCTGCTGAGGTTCATAATAAATATTTTGATTTCAAAAGATGAACAGAACCTACCTTGTTGTTTAATGACAAACGATATAAAAGTTAAAGACTAATGTTGACGTTAATTTATCTTTTAAGTGATTTAAGTGATAATACTGAGTACATCAAATAACAGGTCAGAAAAACAATGAGATTTTATTATAAAAGATCACTTCTGTCGAATAAACAACACATGTAGGTTTAACATAACCATTATTTGTCTCCAGATGAACCAACATACTTTTTTAAAAATAAATTTGAGGAAAATGTATTAAGATTTGACGAAAAGTAAAAAAGTTCGTGATTCAGTCATGTTATGTGCGATATACGACCGATTTTGCAGTAACAGTGTTTATTACCATATTTCTAATGCGTGGATAACGCAGTAAGGTCTTTTCTTGCTTATTTTAACCTCTTTGGGGTAATTTAACAGGATCGTAAGTGTCATTTGCAATGTGTTAAATAATGTCTTTGTTCTCTTCAAATATTATCCTTATAAAAAACATTTTCAAAATTTTCATGAAAATAGGCATGATTCTGTAGGGATGGTGCTTTATCATTTTATGTCATTCACAGCTAAATGAGTCTTTAAATATTCACACAGAAATCATTTTAAGCACGCCATGATAAAAACAATATTAAAACGCACAAACATGGTCCAAAGTGCAACAATGTTATTTTCAATAGGTACTGCTGTAATGATTTTCAGCAAAATGTTACATTTATAAAATATGAAAAATTATTGTATAATAGTAGTCAAGTCAAGTCAAATATGTCTCCTCATACGTACATTAGGATATAAAACTGTAGTATAAAACATTATAAAATACGTATGCCTTTCTATACACAAATATAAGAGATGAATCAATCTATAAATTTCTTATATATATTACATAGCATCTTTTTTAAAGGACCAAGTATTGAAATAATGACTTGGTCTTAAATATTGTTAACTATATTTAAACAATGGTGTAAATAATGTGAAGTTTAACTGTATATGGATCATGAGGAAACTGTGTGTCCATCTGATACTAGTCTAGTATTATGTATCCAATAAATTTTAAACTATTAACAAGTGTGTCACAAAAAGTTATTGACAATAAAATGATCCATAGTTAACTGTTATCTGAAATAACAGCATTAAGTGAAGTTATTTTAGAAACAATTATCCAAACCCCTAAGCTTCATATTGATGCTGATGGTATATATCCAAAATTGTGTTCCTAGACTAAGAAATGATAACTGTTTCCTCATTGCTTTTCCGTATAAAAATTTAGCAATAAAAATAACTACTAATAAAACAATTCAATTTTTAAAATGAACACTGTACTATTAAAATACGTTTACATTATTTACAGTACAGTAAAATTTGTCTTTGCTTTAAAATGTTGAAACATGTAAAAAATAGTAAGATACTAACATTATGGTAATATACCCAATGTTTTATTTTTCGATTATAACCAGATATTATATTTCCAATTGTGAACAATAATTATAGGAAGGAAAACTGTAATTCGTGCTGAGCTTATCAATACACAGCTTTACTTTATTTTCTTTCTACATTTTCATAAAAAATCAATTATTATATCAAAATATTTCAAATGTTTTAAAGCTGTCGTACCATACAAAAATATGTATTCTTAAAACATATAATAAGAGCAAAACAAAATAAAGAAAATAATGGTGTTACTAATTCTACTAATAACTAATTCCGGGTCATCTCTTGTTTCACGGTAATGACATATTTCCATGAGAATAGTGTTAAAATTGATCAAAATTGACATATTGTATTCCACCGGACAAATTTTTGTGTACAATACAAAATATCTTAAATCTATTTATGTTTTTGTAAAACATAACATCATTTTACAAATTTTAGCAAAAAGTCATAATAGTCCGTTGAAAAATATGGATAATTCTGAAACAAACATCGTTTTCAAAATGTTCCTGTTTGTCAACAAAAAATTCTTGTAATAAATTAAAGTTACCTATAATACTTAAATAAACTAATAATAAACAGGTAGACATTTAAGATGACACATAAAAAAAACAACAACTGAAGTGTAACACAATTTACCGCGATTTAAATGATGACAAACTGTTTTCGAAATGGTCGACTTACGGTCTGTGTCAGGCCCATTAAAACTATTTTTGACTGAATTAATGGTGTTCCCTTCTCATACAGCTAAAAATACCTGTATATAACAGCTTATGACATTTTTTGTACCATAAGTTTTATTTGTTGTTTTCTGTCTTCGAAGCGTATAGTACTAAGAGGAGCACAGTATAAAGAGTTTATCTCACATCCATTTTGTTCTACGATTTACAGTCTTTCACATAGTGGCGACAGTTTAAGGAATAACGATTAAGAAGCTATTTTCATATACTCGCAAATTGACTTCACATCTTGTGTCGTTCACAGTTTGTAACAATAGAAAGAAAACAATGTTTTATTATTCATAGAATGCATTAATCAAAGGATACTGCGATCTAATTATTTGATTGTGGATACACACTCTTGTTTCAATGTTTTTTCTATTCAAAGTTTATTGTAGTGATAACAAATGAAATAATGACTCTGCAATATTGCCATTAACGTTGCCAACGTGTTTCTCTTGTTTCTGTTGATATACTGTTTTACAGAAGGAACCTTTCGTTCATCCAAATTACAAATCGTTTCAATTGTTATTAATTGTCTTTATTCCTGTGCATAGCTTCTAAGTAGGCATTTTTAACGATTATTGCAATTATTATATTATTTCACTTTATCTATATACTATCAAATTTTATCCACTTCTCCATATTCTGTCGAAAATGTTATGTTTCCAAGTCTTCATTATAATTATGTTTATATATTTTTTGTCAAATGTGATCTTGTTATTGTTCTTTTCCCGATTCTTCTGTAATGTAACACTCGTTATTTTTTCAATGTTTAAATGTTCTGTTTTTTTTTCGTTGTTTCGTTTATTCAAATAAGATACAGGACGACTTTTCTGCTCATCTCAGAAACGGAGTCATTGTTATATTTTGTCTCTTATATTTCATCTGCAGTGCCTTTAATAACAAAGGAAAACTATAAATAATACAAAACTGAAAAATTAAGTGATTACATCAAAATTATAAAAATCGAACATATTTATGTCTACAGTTGAAACAAAACAAAACAAAACAAAAACAAAAAAAATATTGAGAATCAAAATTATCTTAAAATATGTGACTATGATTTTTATTAGATCATCAACACATTTATTTTCCGGAAAAAATATCTGTATTAAGTGTTTTGCTTGTTCGATCAATAAGTATTAACAATTTTTCCGACACTTGTCAAGGCAAATAAATATATTCTTACTTGTCTTCTTCGCTAGTCTGATGTTATTTTTGGACGCTATTTCTTCGACTATGTTCCTAACCTCATCCCATTCAACGTACACGTCCTTTGCTGATTTCATGGCTTGAATAAGTGTATTTAGTGTGGCATCGCCTGGCCTCTGATCAGTCCATTCCAGTAGCATCTTAAATATCCTCATCCCTGTTCGTGGGTAGTCAGATGTTATGTGTTGTAGTTGAACGGTGCGTAAACCAAGTTCAATACCCAGCTTTTCCCAATTTTCTCCTACTGTTGTAGAAAGTTTGCTGAGGTCTCTTTCTTTTAACACATAATCAGTTTTCAATCCTATGTTCAGGTCATCTGGAAACCATTCATAATATGCCTTTCGTGTGTTTATTGTATGTCCACTCACCATATCTGGGCAAGGTTCAACCACTGTTCCTTTAAGTTCTCCTAATGATAAAGTTTGTTGACTTCCATCTAAGCAGTGACTTTCGTGGTTGCACTTAAAGCAAATCTTAAAAGGGGTTCTTTGTTTTGTTGATGCCTGCCTATGTTTTTTGAATTCGTTCATGACGTTTGAAACCACAAATCGTCGAATCAAGTCGACAATGGCAGCATTAATACCCGAATTACAAAGGTTTTGGACCCGTAAATCAATGAAACCTTGGTGAAGTTCAACTATTCCGACATGCTGACGGTCAAGTCTGAATACACCAAGATTTTCATACAGCAACACCTGCTTCTCTTGGTCGGGAACTTTAAAGGAAACAATCTCCCATTTTCCAACCAAAGCTGCAATGACCCGATAAAACACTATTTGCACAACTGGAGAGATATTAAAGGATATTACAAACTTCAGCAAAGTCTGTTGTCTTCCAGTGACGAATTCTTTTAGAGTATCATTTGCTCTGTATGAGCGGAGAAAGCATGGTACAACATACCATCCAAGTCCTTTAGTCTCTTCAGTTTCTTCGTCATAACTCAATGCTTCCGAAATAATATGATTTCTTTGCATCAACATAAGCAGCACGTCTTTGTGTTCCAGAAAGTTGTTTTTAGCATCGGTACTCCAAACTCTCTCAAGCAATTGCATGTTTAACTTTGCGTCCTGTCTTAGAGTCTTCCAAAGATGGCGATATTTTGGGTCTCTCTTGCAAAATTTCTCTGACGTAATTATACATCTAAATGCGTCAATAACATACTGCGTGTCCAGAGCAACGTATGCTGATAGTGGCTCTTCGTCAAAGTAAATTAAGTTTCCTTTTGCATGTTGATAGAGGAGAAATACCTTCATTTGTTCTTTGTCTTTAAGCGGAAACTCGTTTTTACCATCAATTTCCACGACTTCGCTGTACAGAATTATCTTTTTATATTTATTTGCAAGCAATTCCTTTTCAAGAGGTAACCACCTTGCAGGAATAAGTTTTCCATGTAAATTTTAACCAAGGCGTATGATTTTTTTACGCAGTTCAACGATATTACTGTCGCAAGGATTGGTGCAATCGACGGCGAAATGCTTTGCCTGAATGTGATTGATAATTGGAGAATCCTCAAAAAGCTCCCTTATTTTATCGAAATAATCGTCTGCAATTTTCTGTTTCATGGTTTCATCGCCTTTAAGTAAGTCTTTATGAGTACCTACAAGAATGACTGGAGGCTGTAAACCATCGTCGGACCCCACGTAAGTATGTATAGATCTCATCCAGTATTCTGCATACTGCTGCATGCTCTTTCCTACAGATTCATTCGGAAATTCAGGATCCTCAAAAATAGCGGATAACGGTTTGGTTAAATCAAAAACCATAAGATAAACAGAAGTCGTGCTGTGAAATAAGGTATGTGTTGCATAAAAAATAAACTGGCCCCCAAAGTCCCAGACCTGTAGGTCTCCATCAGCATTAAACGGATCACATTGATTCATTTTGAGCAATCTTGATACTTCCCGATAATCTCTTGATTTAGGTGAGCTCTTTCCAATATTTTGCTTTAGTCCTGTTTTCCTTACGTATCCTCGGAAGCTTGCATTTTCTTCGTTTAATTTGCCAAGTTTTGAATTGTTTGTGTTTTGATTTGATTTGTTCCCATCTTTCTGAATCTTTACTAATGACGCAATACGTCTGTGGTATTCGTTCTTATCCGATGAAGATCTCTGTGAACAAAACTTGACACCTTCGTGAGTATTGGAATATTTACAGCTATTTATTTCAACACCATTGGTGCTCTGAACGCTCTCCGAGTCTTTTCCAACAAGCATATTGGTCAATGATGTCTTGCCTTGGGCGAAATTACCTACAACATTTACTCGAATAGAGTTATCATTTTCTTCACCTTCAGATAAGGCTTTCTGGTAAATTTCATAATTTTGTACATCATTATCGAACACATCAAGATCCTGTAAAGTAATGATATAACAGAATAACTTTATTTTGATTTCCTCCTCTGCAATAAACATGTATAAATTCGTAATGTTCGTTATTCGTAATGATATAAGAAAATAATTTTACAATTAAAATATAACATCTTCTGTGTAACCGCACGAGTAATGATTGGTCAAAATGATAAATATACCGGCAGAAGTACTAGTAAATAATTGCGATATACGAATGAATTATAAAGTTAATAAATGGCTATTAATTTAAAATATTATATTCAAGATAGATGTGTAAAAAACGACCTACCGTTCAAAAAGATCTTTAAGTATAGAAATTTAGATAGGAAAATGAGTAAAAGATTTGTTTCACAAAGGGAAGCTGATAGAATCAAAACGACATAGGACAAAGAATATTCAATTTGTAAAATAAGAGGTTTCGGAAAAAATATCATTTTCTTGTGTAAAATATAGTTAAAATACAAAAAACAGTCAAAGTATTTTACAGATCAGGGTGCCGTTTTATCAACGGTCGTACGCCCGGTCGTAGCTAAGATTTGGTCGTACGACCGATCTTACGTCTACGTCGCGTTTTATCAACATGGTCGTAGCTAAGACGTCGTAGATTTAAGTCGTAACTTTAAGGCTGCTTCAGACCAGTCGTAAGTAGGCTTAAGATCTTAAAAATGGCGGCCATTTTCGCATAATTCCCGATAGAAACTTTCAAACACAAATATTTGAACAATTGAAGTTTTCAACTAACGTAGGTTTTCCGCGTACATGTTTATGTACAGTGCTGATTCTATTTTGACATCCCAGGGACGCAACTATCACTTCCAGTTTAATCTCTGGATAATTTCCACGAAGAAGCTATGGTTAGTTATATTACTTTCATTTTAGTACAACCGACGTTTAATATAACTCCTGTCACATCTGTAGCCAGATTAGCAAATAATTCTTACAATATTCTATACCGTTTTCTACTTTTCATTTCGAAATATTTTAGTACAGAAATTTCGGACAGTGCAGATTTCGGACAGAACATAGATCTAACAATTGTCAATAATAATTGTGTAATTGTCAAGCTATAAAACCAATTTGATTGTTATAATTAGTTAAGTATCTTCTTTTGTAGACCTTTCAATGAAGTTGCTACAGTATCTAGGTGAAAGACATGTGTTAATAATGTGAAATCAACATGGCAACATTATGTTAACCTACAGTACAGTGCTGTTATGGGAATGCAAATGAAACTGGAGCACTGTTGTTTGGTAAAGCATGTACATGAATGCGAAATGAGCATCTTAGATCCAATTTGGTGTATCACATGAAAAGAGGATTGTAAACAAAGGACAAGTAACTTGTGCAGACAGGTGAGTTTGAAATATAGACAGTTTTAGAGTTCACTTCACCCCTCTTTCTATGAAATCTGATTAAAGCACTACACCTCCCTTTTTGGTTATGTGTTGTTATGTGCTTTACACAAATTAAGGTGGAACATGTGAAATGCAATCAATTATGGTGATTAAAATATTCATTGTTTTAACACATTTCTTGTTATATAATAAGTATGGACCAAATCAAAATACTGTAGAGATATTATTTTTCCCCTAATATATTTATATGGTATTAATGATAATCAGTTAAGTACATTATATTTTTTTCTAAAATATAATTATCACAGTAAAATTTCAAAATAAGTTTGACTATTTAAAATAAGTTATTTTGTATTAGTCATTTAAAGTGGGTGACCTACTATCTTAGATATGAGATATCTCTTTCACCCCTCATTTGTTCTAACATTGATACTGGGAAATACATGTATGTCCCAGTTTGACAGTACATTGATAGTTATGTTGAAAATCCCACATAAAATTTTTTATCAACAATTATATAGCAGATTTTTCTTTATTTTTATGTCACATTGATACTTAAAAATTGTCTTTCATGTAATGTTTCAGAAAATGGTGTAATATATCAAAGTTCCATGTTGCAAGTTAACTTGTCAGTGTTAAAAATATTGAAAATTGCCTTGAGTTAAACATTTTATAAAAAAAAAATACTAAAAAAAAGAAAATTAACAAACAAAAGGTTTATTTGTTGATGAAATATTTATTCTAGAAATAATCAGGGATGATGGGTGAAGTGTCTTAATGATTTTTGGATGTGAAGTGTCTTCAGAGGTTAAGTGTCTTGTTTCCACATTAAAACAAATACTATTGTAATATATTGTAGTAATGTTAGATTTGTGGAAATCATTATCATATTTACTCATAATTTTGTTAAAGTTTGTTTATGTAGATTATATTATCCTAGTGCTAAGGCTTCTTTTCAGGTATCACTTGATTTTCTTTTATACATGTACATGCTATATAGAGTCTAAGAAATTGTAGCTGAATCTTTATCTGATTTTCCTTACAGATATAAGGCAGCATGAATAGTTGGTACTTGGTGCATCTGCTGATCAATGTGTTTGTAAAAGAGGAGATTAACATTGATGAGGCTATCACCAGAGTCAGTAGTGATAAACTTATTTTAGAAACAGTATTATAAAAGTAAAATTACAGTTATAGAGGAATATCAAAAAATTCAACAGTAAGAACCTATTTAAAAGCTCAATGGCTGTTACTGACAAATATTATTACAAAGACATACCAAATTATTGAATAATAACTATTAACATTTAGTTATAAGGATTTCATTTGAATTATACATTTTCATATTTATCTGTTCTTGACATTTCATATGAGATAGTTTGTAAAAAAATTATTGTATCAAATTACAATGTTAATTATTTGATTTTAATTAAGTCAGATTATTCTCTGTAATGTTTCAGACTACTGCTAAATTATGGAAGGTTTACAGCTAAACAATCCTATGGTTGGAATCAATATCCAGGGACAGCTCTCCCTTAAAGGGGCCAAGTGTTGTGACCTTGATATATGGCCAACAAAGGACATAAAAGTCCTAAAGATAGTTATGAAGAAAGTTATATAGACTATTAAACATTTCATCAATTTATATTGAATAAAGTACATTATGTGTAATTTAATACATTCCATAAACATGCACATGAATAAAAATAACACTTGAGTATGGTCACAAATGGATAGTCAGTGATCTACAATTATTACCCTGAATGCATGTAAGAAGCTTTATGTGAATGCTTTTTATGCCCCCACAGAGTGGGAGCATATAGCGTTGCACTTGTCCGTCCGTCTGTCCGTCCGTACGTCTGTCCGTCCGTCCGTCTGTCCGTACGTCCCGAAATCTTGTGAACGCAACTCCTCTTAAACCGGATGGCAGATTTTGCTTAAACTTCCAGGGATGAACAATCTTAATGTGTAGATGGTAGTAAAGGAAGGAAATTTTGCTGCGACCAAATTTAAAAGAATTATGGCCCTTTGTTGATTTTTTTCACTATATACTATGTAGAAATTTTGTGAACGCAACTCCTCTTAAACCGGATGGAAGATTTTGCTTAAACTTCCAGGGATGATCAACCTTAATGTGTAGATGGTAGTAAAGGAAGGAATTTTTGCTGCGACCAAATAAAACAGAATTATGGCCCTTTGTTGATTTTTTCACTATATACCATATAGAAATTTTGTGAACACAACTCCTCTTAAACCGGATGGCAGATTTTGCTTAAACTTCCAGGGATGAACAACCTTAATGTGTAGATGGTAGTAAAGGAAGGAATTTTTGCTGCAACCAAATTTAACAGAATTATGGCCCTTTGTTGATTTTTTCACTATATACCATATAGAATTTTGTGAAAGCAACTCCTCTTAAACCGGATGGCAGATTTTGCTTAAACTTCCAGGGATGAACAACCTTAATGTGTAGAAGGCAGTAAAGGAAGGAATTTTTGCTGCGACCAAATTTAACAAAATTATGGCCCTTTGTTGATTTTTTCACTATATACCATATATAAGTTGTCAGTGGGGGCATCCGTGTCCTTTGGACACAGTTCTAGTTTAACTAATGATTAATGAAAACATATACATAGGGTAAGGTCTTTAAGTTGTTTCTGAGTGTATACCTTGGATGGTACATGTTTTTACTGACTGTATATTCACTTGTCTTAAGTTCAAACTATAGCTATTAATGTATGTCAAAATCAAATATTTATATTTGAAGTGATAACTTTACTGAATCATTCTCTTGAATAACATTATGCAATGATTGATTCATGTTCAAAACTTGAAAGGAATACACAGCAAAATGATGTTCTTCTCTGTATTCAATTGGATTAAAGTGACTTTACAAAAACAAAGATTTATGTGTTACAATTCATCTGAAAGTAAAATAACCACAGACGCTTGGGGTTTGGAGCTCAAAACGCCTTTAAAATCCAAATAAAATGCATATTTGTCAATCCCAGGCCATGTACTGATCATATATATAAAAAAATCTTAATATATGCCGTTTTGAAAAAAAATCATATTGCAACATCTATAATAATAGTATTATTATAGATGTTGAAATATGATTTTTTTTTTCAAAACGGCATATATTAAGATTTTTCGATATATATGATCAGTACATGTTCTGGGATTGACAAATATGCATTTTATTTGGATTTTAAAGGCGTTTTGAGCTCCAAACCCCAAGCGTCTGTGAAAATAACATGAGATAAATCAATTTAACATATGTGTTTATATTGATATTTATTAATTTATTGTTACTTGAATGCATTAAAAATTGTTGGGATAAATATTAAAAACGCAAAGAAAATAACACAAAAGGGACAATAATGAAAATAAACAATCTTAATGTAAAACTGTGAAACTTTCAACAGAATTCCCTAGAAGTGACATTTTATATTTAATGTGCTAAATTTATTATTTGTCTTAACTGCTCTTGTCTGAATAGTGCCCTGTGTCTGTTAAAACATATTGTTTTTATATTGTTATCTAGTTTCAAGATTGTTTTCTAGCAGATATGTACATCAATTCTAAACAGGTATTATTAAAAATTAATATGAATTAGAAAAATTGTAACATGTCATTTCAATGTCATAATTTTCTTTGCAATATGTATTCATTGTCATACTGGCATAAATAATAAAAGACTTTGTAACATTGTAACACTTACTGTTCTGTAAATACTTTTACAAATAAGCCAGCCATATTGTTTTCAACTTTTCCTTAATCTTAGCTGAAACTGCTAAGAAAGACTCTTCTAATGTTTGCAGATGTTGTTTAGCATTTTACCTCAGAGCCCTGTACATATATTTTGTATTCAAGCTGTGCCATCTGTAACTTATTCAATGTCATGAACGCACATACAGGTTGAACCTTAATGGGTGTCATCAACGGCGCTTTGTTCGAAGTAAAAAAATCTTAAAACACTAGCTTTGCATTGGAAGCCTTTTGCTTTACTCACACAGTTAGGACAAGATACTTGACAGTTGACAGATCATAATGATGTATACTATCACGTTCTTTGACTTTTCAGAATATTCTTATACAGGGATGTAAGGGATATATTTACATAGTCATTGGTGATATTTAATTGTATCCTTGGATGACCAGAATGACGCTACCGCTTTTATTAAAAATAATGTGCCTAACATGCAGAAGAGATTTAAAAATTTTGACATCGTCTATAACATGTTTTGTAGACGGATTTATGTCCTCCTTTTGATGCATCTCTATATTTTGATCCGCAAATAAGTATCTATTTGTCTCACGGATTTATATAAATCCGTGAATGATTTACTGTTTTTTTTATTTAATAAAGATCAATATACAATGTATCCCATGTATTTTTTTAAATCTTCTACAAGAAAAGAAATCGCATTCTAACACAAAAAG